TGACATTTAATCACCAAGTGTGACTTTAACCTTGGAGGTAGGGGTCCGGATATTGCGAAACAAAATTTGTCTCATTTAAACAAACATTTGCGCAAAGTTATTTTAAATTTCTTTAATAAATGACTTCGTTATGGACCGTACACGAAAGTGTGATGGACAGACAGACGAACAAAAATGCGAGGAACAATTAAAAGGAGGGACTTAATTATGTCAAACTTCCTATCGGAGTTACCAAATTTAAAACACACAGTTGCATTGTGATATTGCATTGATATTTCAAATTCAAATACATGTTAAAAGAAATTTGCAAATGTAGTCACTGGTGACGAAACATTGCTTAGCCGGTGTCAGGGTACGTGGACGGAAACTTGCACTTTCCAGTACCTTCCAGGAACAGGATCAATCAAACAGTGCCTGGAACATTTCAATTGTATCGTTTTGGTCAGTCTTAATTCCGGTTCAAATTCTGTATTTGTAGTAATGTAAAAGAGGAGTGCATCGATTGTGTTTCAAAAAGAAATAAAGGATTACTTAATTATAGAACGCCCAGTATTATAATTATAAATCATTTCAAACACTCTCCGTACGGCTTCTGCAAACATTTAAATATCTTCTTAAATGTTTTCTTAAAGATAGAAAATGTACATTTTATCACTTCTAACGTTGAAAGAAGGCATTCTGGTCAGTGGCTGTCAGAATTAGGGTGCAATTGGCCACGACATTGTTATCTATAGATGTAGAATATGCATTTATCAACTAAAAACATGTTGTAAAATACCTTTTAGTACACTAGGCTTATCTGATTTTGCCTTTTTATATGATAAAATTTGATCTTTATATTAAAATATTTGTTTCAGGAATAAAATAGAGAAATACAGAATCCCTAAATAAAGCCCAACACTAAAATTGAAAATGTTGCAGGCTCGGTTTGATTGAACCTGTTCATGAACGGTACTGGAAAGTGCAAGTTACCGTCCACGCCCCCTAGCACCGGCTTAAGCAGAATTCAATATTTAAACACTAAAATGGTGAAATTTTGAATTTAAAATCATCCGCAGATGTGTTCATACGGCGGTTTTCATGGAACCTTCAATGTGACACAGTAGTGTCATTCCACGAAAAGCGGCGTATGGTCCCCAAGTAAAAGAGTGCGTGTGCCCTAAACGAGAAAACAATGGGCGGAACTAAATCAAATGGAATTTTGAAAGGGGATCTGAGGTTATGAAGCCATTACTGTTAATTAATAAATGTATTTGATTTTTACTTGAACAAAACACCACTTATAAATATGTCATGTTGAATAATTTAATTGACCTTAGATTGACTCACAGACAAATCATTTTATTTTGGTTAGTATGTTTGACTTGTTTTATTCAGATTTGAAGTAGCCAAAACCTAATGGGGCCATTCAAGCGTGGCATTTTCCTTTAAACAGATTCATTGAAAGTAAAATGGCTGAATTTTTATGAAATTCACAAAATCTTATTTCCATTGAATAAATTTGATTCCCACAAAACAACACTAAGGAAAACAAGAGCACCGTAAATACGTGGCAATGTACTCCCGAATGCAAATTTGTTATAAGTTATCAAAATTTTAAATTAATCAAAAATAATCTTTGAATATGGTAAAAGTCACAATTATTACACTTGTTCTGAACATGTTTTATTGCACGCAAAATATAATAGTAAGTGGAGAAGAGATTTATAACTATAAATGCGTGCTTTTTCCATTTAACTTTTATGAAATATGTATGTATGTATGTATGTATGTATGCATGCATGCATGCATGCATGTATGTATGTATGTAGTATATGCTTATTGATGACCGATAAGCCCGTTAAAACACAACACAAAAAGCAGCTATCGCTGTCGAGTTCGGACAGCAGACATGTCACCAGTCATGCCAATGAAGGGTTAATTTTGAATCACAAAATAGAGAAAAACAGAATCCCTTAAGAAAGCCCAAAATGGCACAATTGAAAATGTTGCAAGCTCGGTTTGATTGAGCCTGATCATGGACGGTAGTGGCAATTCAAGCTACCGTCAAAGTTCCCTAGCACTGGCTTAAGTAGAATTCAACATTTAAACATGAAAAGGGTTATATTCTTAATTCAGAGACAGATGTGTTCATGCGACCGTTATCAAGCCGAATAGAAAAACTTATTTAACACAAGCACAACAATAATGTCGCGCTGAACGATCTTTCATGATTGGAAATATAACATCTCTGTTTGAATTTACGGGGCGACGTTTTTCAGCCTCCAAATGGCATAAACAACGCTGATATTGCAATTAAATAGAGCAAATAAGAATCCCTAAAGAAAGCCCAACATAAACTGAAAATGTTGCAGGCTCGGTTTGATTGAACTTGTTCATGGGCGATACACTCAAGTGCAAAACTACCGAACACGCTCCTAGCACCGGCTTAAGCAGAATTCAACATATAATTTGAACTGGTACAATTTGGAATTTTGAAACATCCGCAACTTCATATTGCGGTTATCATGGAACATTCAATGTTAGACGCTAGTACCATTCCATGAAAAGCGGCGTTGATGCCTTTCAAATCGTGACTCTGTATTAGGGGCTCACGCCAACTAGCAAACTTACTTTGTTGTTCCATTTTTTTGTAGAAACACCGCATGCAATAGGGTTAAACCTAGGGGTATTGTCTCAATTGATAACTACAGGTACTCCAGAGAAATTTAATTGAAACGAGGCGAAAGTTTTAACATGCTGCCTTTAACATTTGGCAGTTTTTATGTATGATTAACTAATTGTATCTTAGTGGAATATATTTTCGTTCTTTGAAGACAGTTCGGCGCGACGTGTTAATCTTTTGTAGTTGGGTTGTTCAAGTATTCCAACTTGAATACTGTAAAATCACTCTAAGGATATGTGACCCCCCTTTTAAATTTGTCTTTTGGTCTTTTGACTTCTTATCTTAGTTATGCAAGTTTTTTTACCTTTGATCCCGTTCCAAAATACTATGTCTTATTTGTTTTCTCGTATGGGACACACGCAATCTTATACGTTGGGACCATACTGCGCTTTTCATGGAATGGCTAAAATGAAGATTCCATTTTATTCCGCCATATGAACACATCTGCTGATGTTTGTTAATTCAAAATTTCACCATTTTCATGTTTAAATGTTTAGTGCTTAATGTGTTGCTAGGGAGCGTGGGCGATAGCTTGCATTTTCAAGTACCGTTCATGAATAGGCGAAAACTTAGCCTGCACTTTTTCTATTTTTGGCCTTCTTTAGGATTAATAGATTAATATCAAATGATTAAATCATTAACACCTAGAATCTCCTAAATAATTATAATCTTAATATGGAAATACTAAAAAAATGCAAGTACAAACAGTATTAAAATAAAGAAATACGATGTTATACCGTTACTTACTTACAGAAGTTATATGAATGAATATGAAAAACGCGAAAATAAATGTAAATTTATTCGGTCAAACCTCGCCAAAACGCGAGAATTTAGATTCAAGAATATAAACTTGTTACAGTTATGAAATATTACATATGTAAATGAACAGACATATTCTACAGTTTTATGAAAATTTTATCCTTCTATAATTTTTTTTTTGTATGTTATTAAGTAAAATTTCATGGCGAATTCAAAAATAAAAAGAAAAATATATGTTGAAGCGTTGGATTTCTTGTAAAATGGCAGTTTCCATGGTATCCGTATATCTCAAAACTGTCAAAATAGCCAAACTGGGTTATAAATATGTAAAAAACAGTTTAATAAACACACAATAAGCATAATTTTATACAAAACCTGGTTATCTAAGGGTTCTGTATGAAACAAAAAAAACGATGATTTGACATATACTTTAAACAATGAGTTTTTCATGCTTCTTAACTGAACAAAAATGAGAAAAAAGCATGAATTCTGTAAATAATTAAAGCTATCAAAATTTTCTTTTATAGAATTTTCTACATTTTTGATATGTAAAGTAAATTTTATAGTGAATTCAAAAATAGAAATAAAAATATATATTGACCTGTTAGTTTTTTTTTTTGTTTGTTTTTTTTTGTAAACGGGCCTGCAGTTTCCATGGTTATCACATATACCAACTGTCAAAATAACCACACATTCTTAAGAATATCAGTGATGCACTTAATGCATTGATATATATATATATATAACAAAAATGTTGAAAAGTAAATTTCTATTACTTTTGATGCTATATGAAGTAAATGAACCTGGATATGTTTTTAAAACAAGTAATATCAGTGATACACTTAATGCATTGATATATATATATATAACAAAACTGTTGAAAAGTAAATTTCTATTACTTTTGATGCTATATGAAGTAAATGAACCTGGATATGTTTTTAAAACAAGTTATATAAGGCCATATTATTTCTTCACTAGCCTAACATACGAAAACAGTAAGCAAGTATTCAGGAATTAAAATAAAACATGAAAATTGGAACATTTCTTAGAAGTTATTTTTGTTTTTTTCTCAACATTTTTGACATATATCATTCTAAACTTGTTTGCCCACTTGTCTGCCAGTAATCAAGTGGCGACGCACTTTCATCACTGCAAGTGGGGTAACGCGCGCGGAATCATCATCAATATTTTCGTACTAATGCTAGGAGAAATCCTTTATCTGATGTTGTCTAAACGACCCTCTTATTCTTTTGAACCGCTCTCCATTTACATTTACAAATATTTATTCTGTATTAATTACTCATTATTTGTTTGTAGCCGAAATTTAAACAGTTATCCGCGTACTATTCAACTACTTTATTTTTTGAAAGCTAATTATCGGTGATTATCTTTCTTGGAAGCGCATTACAATGCGCACAAAAAACTACCGACAATTTTTAAGTGATTTTAATGATAGATTTAATTTGAAAAGAAAGATTGATCTCTACAAAAATTAATTTACGTAAAGAAATTTTGAACTTTGAAGATAATAATTACATTTTTTAATACACATAATAGGATTTACAACTTATTTTACCTGACAGACAATTTTGAAGGCATCCGGTGAGTTTTCGACAAATCGGGTAAACTCTGACCTGTCAGCTCGATGTGCTGTCATTCTGTCGTAGTCTTCTTTCTGAACAACGTTTTCTTTAGAAAACAAAGCACTGAAATTCAATTTGAATTTGTTATATTTGTTATTTTCTTGCTCTGCTTTAAAAATATTAGAAAACATAAAATTATGAAACAAGGACTGTGAAAGCCTAAGAATATAGCCGCAAGACATTCGTACGAATTCTTTAAGGTCGCAAGGTTGCCGCAACGTCGCAGACTCATTTCTCATCATGCACATTATTTCTGCGATTTTTTGACAGATTTTGGACGTCTCAAGACTGTCGTAAAACAATCATGATTTCTAGAGGTTCTCATGTAAAATATTTTGCGTTTTTTTTATGTTTTGCGAGGGCTGCAGGTTCGCCGCACCAGCATTTTGCCGTAATCAAATGATGTCAAGTGACATATCTACAAATCTATCTAGATAGACTGCGAAATTGCCTGCGATCTTTCTACGGCACAGATTTCTCTACAAATCGTACGAACTAAATTTCGTGCGGCTGATGTGATAGAGGCTTGAGATATTTATAGGATCGCATCGAAACAAACAGTTTAAAAGGCGAATGATAAACGCATCTGCAAAACCACAGTGAAACTAAAGTGTTGATTTTACCAGCATTGCTGAAATATTTCATGATCAAGTTGTTCACACATCTTAATTTTGTCTGCTATCGGTAAGTTCTGTAACTCATCTGGTACCATGATGCTTGTTACTAACGTGTCTGCAATTAAACAATGTGTTTGATTTAAATGTCGATAGTTTTATGTTTAATAAATTCATTAACAAATAATGAAGTAATAGAAAAAAATAAAACTTATAAAAAAATATAGCAGAGTTATTTGATTGAAAAGCACTAGTATATACTCATACGTAAACGTGTAGAATGAAAACTGTAGGCACCTCATACAAATGTGGGCCCCAAATATGCACATGTTTTGGTGAATCATATATTGCATTTAGCCAAACAAAACAAAGTATTTTGCTAGTTCAAATTTTCTTTTAACAATAAATACTAGGTATTTATGTAATTGAATGATAAAAAATAAACAAACATACTATTTAATGCACATGATAAGACCTAAAAATGTCAGAGTATTATATTTATATAAATGATATAATTCAAAATTTACTGAAATGGCTATCATATGAATAATCCAACTAATTTTAGTTTTATAACTAATTTATTGGTTTAAATAACATACATCTTTATATAATTATTGTATGAAAATACCTTCAAGTATGGAGCAATACATGCCAATCAGTCCTTTAGCAATTGGTATGCCCGCTTTCCCATCGTTTGATACTATCGCATGGAACTTCTTTTGTGATGACATGAACATTGTCAAATACTTGAATCCATCTGGTTGACCGTCACATTGTAATAAAGGCTGATAGTAAGCCCATTGCATTTTACCTATCTGGTTTTCGCAAAGGATATAAATAGGTGTTTGTAAGCAAGTTGCCGCAGCATAGAGACAAAGCATGGGAAAAGAATCATATGTTCCGATTAAACAGTCCGTAATCACAGTTTGATAAAAAGTCTCCAAATGTTTTTCTTGCTCTTTGCTCATTTCTTGATCGTTCTGCATTGCTGCCGTAGGAACGTTGTCACAAAGTAATGACAAGACAGGCTTAATCTGTGCCGCATGCGTCAAGAGTAGATCTACAACCTTTTCATGTAGGTAGTCTGAGGACGTATACATTTCCATCGTGTTTACTTGACTCGCGCTATCATTATCATCGCCGTTTTTGCATTTGTATCGACTTTTGATATCTAAAACTGATCTGATAGTCCGTGCAAGGCAGTCGAACAAAGGATAACTATTTTCTTGTATCACCCTATTTTCTTCTTCAAATCTCAGCGCTTCATATACGCATTCAGGTACACAATCATCTAGAAATGAATTTTCCAAATAAGTTGTCATATCTTCAAATCTAGAGGGTTATTTATGAGAGTTACGTACTTGTTTTAAATATTGATATAAATCCTGAAAATGTGTCGCAAATGTAACGTACTTTGTCTGAAGCATCGCACATTTAAATGCGATGACCTTATTCTTCAATCGATAACCTTTTATTAAATTTAAAGGTAATAGATTCTAGCCCTTTTTGAAATTAAAGATCATGCCTAAAAAAGCCCTAACGTCTCCAACGAGAAACAATGGAATGAATTTTGTGAAATGGTAAGTGTAAACGTTTTTAAAGCCTAGAAAACCTGTACATTGTAGACTATTTGAATCATACACTGCCTGCGGGTACGTACCGGAATATCCAGCCAGAGGGTAACTCTGCCGAGTTCCCGCTTAACAGTTACCCAAGAGCTAGATATTCCCGTCCATACCGACAGCCAGTGTTTGTTCCATACCGACAGTCAGTGTTTGATTATTACATGTCAATAATTTTCGGAACAGAACTGATATTTTCATTACGCAATTTTTTCTTACAGTAGCATATTGTAAAACAAGTTTGCTTTTTTAAAAAGAAACATGCGAGAGGTTTTGTCACAGCCGTTGAAGATTTATTTAATTGTTCTATTTGTGGGAAAGTGATAACTTCTGATAAGTCGACCAATAGCAACATATCGGCTATTTCCGTCAATCTCTCAGATTAGGATTAATCGGTGAGATGTTCCAAAGCTAAAGAAGCAGCACAATTTGGCGTAACTGAGCTATTTTGTCATGCTCCCCCGAGAAATTATTTTGGAAGAATAAGGGATATCCTGGCATTTTGTGACTATCAAGAGGCTATATTGACAACATATTGGTGAGGATTTCAAACTCTTATTAATTTTAAAATATGTAAAATAAACAAGTACGTTACATATATCATAAAACTTTTTTTAGCTCGACTAAAGTCCTGGCGGCGTTGCCGTTGCCGTCCGCAAACTTGTACCTGGATCATAACTTTTTTAGTTCTTGGAGTATTGTCTTCATACTAGGCCACAACAACCCTTGGGACAAAACCTTTCAGTAGACTACACTTACCTTGACCTTCATCCATAAATGACCTTCACTTTCAAGGTCAAATGTTTATTATTGGCTGGAACTTTGTTTATTTTGAATGGATTGTCTTCAAATTTGAACATAATAATCTTCAAGCATAGCCCTTTAAAATAACCAGACAGACTTTGACCTTCACTCATAAATGACATTGACTTGAAGGTCAAATTATTGAAATTTACATCTTCTTTACTGTAGCTTTGCTATCATTGAATGGATTGACTTCATACTATAACAGAACATTTTTAAGGACAAGACCTTCTTGTTTATCAAACTTAAATTGACCTTGGCTCTTTTATGACCTTGACCTTGAAGGTTAAATTATAGAATTTTCACTGATTTGTGCATTAAATGACCAAATATATTTATTGGTGTATATGTAGGGCGTTTTGTGTTTTCATTACTAACAGTATAATGTAAGAAAATGCAAGTTACAATCAGTGGCATATTATATGAAGTGGACATTTTCGATAGGGTGAAAGTAATAGGGATGCTCTCAGGCACAGGGAAAAAGAGCCCTTCTTGGCACCGCCTAGAGGCAGGTTTAAAACAATTTGTCAAAAATGGGCGAGAATTCGTGTTAAAATTAGTCTCGTTTATTGATTTCTGATGGCTCTAGCGTATTCAGTATGTCTCGCGCCTTATTTCCGTGTAACATCTGATCACTTTGTGTTATTGTCAATACAACAGAGGGACACGTCTTTAAAACTGTGTCCCTCAAGGTGAAAATGTTCAGCAACTGGGGATCTGTTAAATTTTCGTGTTTTCCTGTCAGAGCGGTGTAAGTTCATTCGTTTATTTAAATTAAGTTTAGTTACAATGACATATTGTTTGTTGCACACTTTGCAAGAAATAAGGTTAATAACGTATGCCGTTTTACAATTCATTATGTCTTTAAGAGATGTTTTGGCCCCTATTTTTGAGGAGAATGTATTTGTAAGGTGCATAGCAGCATAGGATTGGCATCATGGTGTGCCACATGGTCCAGACTGACCTATTTTATCTGTCATTATTGGTCTCAGTTGGGCTCTAACACGTATGTCTCTGAGGCTTTTAGGTCTCCTTTATGCAATGGTTGGTCTAGTTGGGAACAACTAGTTAAGTTTCTGTGAAGGCTCAATAATTGGCCAATGTTTGTCAATGATGGCTCAAGGCTAGTGTTTGGTAAATCCGGGTGAAATGTGAGCACAGATGGAATTTTATTTTGTTTTTTTGTGAAGAACCACTAGAGTGATGTTTGTACTCAAGTAGTTCCTTCCTATGCGTGCTGTCTGCATTTGAGATCGCTTTTGCAATGTCTTCTTCTTTGTATCCTCGTTTCCGAAGGTTTTCAGAGAGTTATTTCGCTCTGATATTGAACGTGTTGGGATCTGAACAGATTCGTTTGATTCTCAAAGCCAAACTATAGGGTATGTTCTTACAACAGTGGCAGCTGCTTGTAAGAAGGTATTTGTGTTTATCGGTGGGTTTTGAATTCAAATCAGTAATAATATGATTGTCTTTAATATAAGTTTGCTCATATTAATTTGATTGGCCCCTTTAATTGGCCGCTAAAGCTATAAAAAAGGAAAACCTTAAAACGTCTATCTTTTTCAGAACTAATTGATGGATGATCACCAAATGTCTGTAGCACTCTTAAGTATTCGTTTACCAAGTTTGCTCATATAAATTTGATTGGCCCCTTTTAGGGGTCTCTAGAGCTTAAAATAAAAATACCTTTAAACGTCTAATTCTACAGAACTAATTAATGGATGATCACCAAACTTTGTCTGTAGCATTCTTGGGTAGTCTTGTATCAAGTTTGCTAATATTAATTTGATTGGCCCCTTTAAGGGGCCGCTAAAGCTAAAAATAGAAATACTTTTAAACGTCTATTACTACAGAAGTAATTGATGGATGATCACCAAACTTTGTCTGTAGCATTCTTAGGTAGTCTTTTATCAAGTTTGCCCTTTTTAGGGGGGTCTCTAGAGATAAAAATATAAAAAAAAACCTTAAAACGTCTAATTCTACAGAACTAATTGATGGATGATTACCAAACTTTGTCTGCAGCATTCTAAGGTATTTTTTTTATCAAGTTTGCTCATATTAATTTGATTGGCTCGTTTTAGGGGTCTCTAGAGCTAAAAATGAAAAAAAAAAATTAAATATCTTCTTCTTCAGAACTAATTAATGGATGATCACCCATCCTTGTCTGTAGCATTCTTAGGAAGTCTTTTATCATGTTTGCTCATTTTAGTTTGATTCGCCCCTTTTAAGGGCCGATAAAGCTAAAATTAGAAATACCTTTAAACGTCTATTTCTAGAGAACTAATTGATGGATGATCACCAAATTTTGTCTGTAGCATTCTTGTGTAGTCTTTTATCAAGCTTGCTCATATTAATATGATTCGCCCGTTTAAGGGTCCGAAGCTTAAAAAAGAAATACCTTTAAACGTCAATTTGTACAGAACGAATTGATGGATTTTCACCCAACTTTGTCTGTAGGATTCATTGGTAGTCTTTTATCAAGTTTGCTCATATTAATTTTATTGGTCCCTTTAAGGGGCCGCTAAAGCTAGAAATAGAAATACCTCTAAACGCCTAATATTTCAGAACTAATTGATGGATGATCACCAAACTTTGTCTGTAGCATTCTTTGGTATTCGTTTATAAAGTTTGCTCATATAAATTTGAATTGCCCCTTTTAGGGGTCTCTAGAGCTAAAAATATAAAAAACTTTAAAAGTCTAATATTACAGAACTAATTGACTGATGATCACCAAGTTTGTCTGTAGCATTCTTAAGTAGTCTTTTAGCTAGTTTTCTCATATTAATTTGATCGGCCCGTTTTAGGGGGCCGATAAAGCTAAAAATAGAAATATTTTTAAACGTCTATTTTTACAGAACTAATTGATGGATGATCACTAAACATTGTCTGTAGCATTCTTGGGTAGTATTTTATCAAGTTTGCTCATATTAATTTGATTTGCCAGTTTTAGTGGCCACTTTAGCTAAAAATAGAAAAACCCTTTGAACGTCAGTTCCTACTGAAATAATAGATAGATGATCACCAAACTTTGTGGCTTTTTTAGGTAGTCTTTTATCAAGTTAACTCATATTAATTTGATTGGCCCCGTTTAAGCTGAAGCTTAAATGTCCCAGGTTATGGCATTTCTTAGAATTATTGTTTAAACGTATTCTATGCTCAAATTAAATATTAGAAAATATTAATATTGACAATAGATAATTTCCAAAACTGAAAAGCAGGTCTTTCTAGTGAGCGACTAAGGCTTATCAAAAGAGCTTTATTTTATTGAGGTATTTCAACGAAAACTAAACAAAAATTGATGACGTCGACATATTTTACGTTGCGTACACATGTGTACACAAATAACTTTAAATGACTTTATAACATTTTTTTTATTTGCCCTGATGATTATAGAAACCGGTAGGCAATAAATTAAGAAGAGAAAATCCAGTTAATGTCAGTTATTTTTTAGTGTATTAGTATCTTTTTTCTTCTTCTTCTGTAAAACACATGTGGATATATATGGAAAGGATTCATACTTTGACAAAACTAATCTGGCAAGACAGACATATTAAAATTATAAAACGGAAACGTTAAGATTTGTTTGCTTTTAGCTTGTACATTCTTGTCTTAATTCTCTAAATCAATTGATTAATATGTCATTGAGAAATTACACCAATTTGTTACTTGTTTTTTTATTAAAAGATGAGAACAAAAATCAAACATACAAGGGTACGTTGGCAGAACTCAGCCCCCTACACAATCCAGCTACACCAGCAGGGCGCCCAGAAGGCCCCACCTAAAAGCAGAAAAGGACACAAAAGGGCCGCTACGGAAAGAGTAAAAAGTTTGGGGAAAAATTATTGCAGGTGACCTGCTCGCCGAATAAGAAGCAAAAGTGGACTGGCGCGCGACCCACTTGCGGAAATAAGCCTGCACGAACCTGAATACTGCGCGTGCTGACATGCCTTAACAATAATGTTCAAAATGGTGCACAAGTGATTCATGTATACAGCCTGTTGTGCAATACAAGCATAAGTACAAAAATACATAAATACACATGTTAACATTTGTTCAACTTACAAATTCGTAATGTACACAATTACAATCATGATTTTTTGAAAAGCTTTGGATCCGAAGCTTATATAAATGCTTAAATGCTTTGTTTTTCAGTATTCTAGCTCCATTTAAAAACCCAATGAACTTGTGTTTTTATTCTAAATTGAAATCTGACCGTTTTATTGACTTCTTCTGTAGTCATTCGTCAATAAAGAAGTCATTCAAAATGTTAGAGTTCAATTTTGAATAAAAAACAGTGGAACTTAGTGTAGCATAAACTTGCAAAAAGTAAATATATTTGCACTATTTATGGTATACAAAATTGATACACTTATCTTTGATTAACTTTTCTTTAAACTTGTTAACAGCAGAAAAATAAACCGAGAAAATCCCATTTGTATAGCTCAAAATTTCAACCATGTACATGCAACCTCTGTATAGACAAAGCAGTCGTAAAATATGAAAGCGACCTTCACTGGCTGATTACATCTAAAAATAAATGAGCTATGCCAATGACCTGGACTGTTAATGAACAGCGAAATGAGTAAAGAAATGTGGCCAGATATACCATCCTAAAAACAATACTTCTTTTCAAATTTCACAGTATTGTAGCTATTTTACTTGTTCACAAAACAATAAACAATTTATTACAGTCGATGTTAATTTTTCATTTATTAATAAGAAAAATCCTATTTTGATTCGGGACATGCGCATACCAATGTTTATAGACTGGTTCTAATGTTTTTAGGTTGTATATGAGACTCATTAAACTCAATTTGATACGCTAAAATGGATGCCGCCAGCAATCAAAGCAATCACTATGGAGAGGTATGATGACCTCTCCAATGACGTCATCCTAAGATCACAATTCATTCACAAAAGCCTCGGGGCAATGAAATCACTTAAAGCATGCGGCTTGTTTTACATGAGGTGTGAGACAGGGTTTTCAAGCACCGGTGTTAACGATAGATAATATTGTCTGATTTGCAAGAAAATTGACAAAATACTTTAATAGGCAGTCGACATATTCTAATGGTAAAAAAACAACAACAAAAATATTCAAAAAGGAATTTTGGAGCCACAAACAATAATGATTTAATCTTCAAGTATATGAACATAACATCACAAATTGAATTTACGAATTTTCTTTTACAGCCATTTTAAAACTCACGCATCGCTGATTCGACAGTAAAACCTTGATTACTTTCAAAACTATACGATTACAAATGTAGACGAATTTGTTCTATTGAACTTGTTTATGGACATATGTGGTACACTAGTATGTGAGTAACTATTGCCTGCAAGTGCCTAATGGCAGTAATAACAACTCCTAAATCCTTTTTTACATATTTTCCTTAAACCAATGCAAAATGTTATTACATTATCTTTCATGATTACACTCGATATTCGACGCTTTTGTTTAAAAAGTGGTCGTTATAATGTTATAAGAAATTATTAAAATAATTTTGAGACATTGTAAGAAAATGGAAAAAATGTTAACTTAGTCTTTGCAATCGAAAAATTCACAAAACGATAAAATATACCAATACAACATAACATATCTATTATTAACTTGTGTAGACAGTAAAGATGTAAAGATAGTCATAATTTGCAGTTTTTTTGCTTATTTCAGACAAAAGTATATAGTACATAACGACGAAAACATCAAAATAATCGAAATTGTTATCGTGTGGCATCGATTTTCTGATTCTGGAATACATAAATGGCGAAAACATATCACCATTTCCCTTATTTGTTTATCTTTAAATTGCTTACTGACCAGATACATCCGGCGAAACAATGCAAATGACAAATGATTATTGTAAATTATTACACGTGAGAACAAAATAAGTCATTGTTTTCTTTCCTTTTAGATTTGTTTGTTATATCTTACCATCGTGAAACTTGCCTGATTTTGTCAATTGCAAGTTAAACATCAATTACATAGGTGCGTAGATGAAGTCCTTTTTATATTGTTTATGACAAGATAACTGGACTATTTTTCTTGCTATTTTATACATCTATTTTAAAATTTTATACTTTGTTGAGCTCTTACAGTTATATCTGTTCTGTTCTATATCATTCTCAATCTTAAATTGTGTATATGCAAGAAACAACTCACCAGCAGCCATCTTGAAAGCCTCTGAGCACTTGTTTACGTCTTTGTGCACTCATCCACTGGTCATTATGCAAAATGCGAAAATTATTGCGCCCTCAGTCATGGCAAAATAACATGAAACGAACCAAAATATTCTGTTTTAATTAAAAGTTACATGATGTATTAAATAATCATAAATTTGTGACAACTGAGAAACTAATTTTTTCATAATTCCTTACTTATAATTATCATTTTATAAAAATATAGGATAATATTTTTACACATTAAAATGTCATTTGTTAGTTTCAGAATTTGTAAAACTTTCAATTTTTGCAATTTCAATAAACATTGTTAATTATATAGAGTCAGTTTAACTTGCTCATCATGATATTCGGCTATAACAACATTCTTGTGTTTAAAATATTTTGATAATTATGTTTGTTTTGTATAAAGTAATGTCATTACGATCGCCAGACCCTTGCTTTGTAGCAATTATTTTAACTTGTAAAGTTCCCGTACTATAGTGATAGACAGATACTTATCCCCGCAAGATCACTTACATTCGGTGATCGGATTGGCAATGATTAATCAATTTTAGAAAGTAAAATGAACAGTTATAGATGATATTAAGTCCAACATTATTCAACACTTTTCACTTATCAAAGAAATGTCTGATCTGTCATATTGCTGACATAAAATTTAGTCTAGAGATATGGATTATATATATTGATAAAATTTATTCATTTGTTTGATTGGATGACACTGTTCCCTGGACCGATTGTTGATCACATAAACAATAAAAACATTTATAACATCAAACGTCCATATCATCATAAAATCTATAGCCTTGTTCATTCCAAAGAATGGATTAAAACATGCATACTATTATATAAATAATAGACCATTAGACAATAGAAAATCATATCTTTTTAATAATTTCCAAATGAAAAAGCAGTAATTAACTCGATCTTTTCCCGGTCCTTAAGAACACCAGACACGCTGTGAATTAAATAACACTCTGCGCTTTTCGTACATGTATTTGATATTGTGTAAAAAAATAAAAATGGTTATTTACAAAAACAGAAGCATTACTTTAAAACATGACACTTTTTCATCTATAAGTTTAAATTTATAGTTGGTACTTATTTAGAATAATTATTCGAAACAAGAGAGTTTACATCTCAGAATTGAAATTTTGTAAATATTTTATCAAAAAGAAAAAAAAATCGTCGTAAATTATAAAATCCAGTCCAAATGGGTAACATTTGATAATGTTGATTAACGACAATTTTGACAAATATCCTTCAAAGTATGTTTATTGAAGATAACAATTTCACAGTTTATACAGTATTGAAACACCTGTTTTCTCAAGCCAATCCCCTATAAAAAAAAATCAAACAGGACTTTGACAAATTAATGTCAGGCTATGAATCGATAACTCTGTACTTACTAGAAAAGAATTCTACGCGTGCTGGGATTAATTGTGGTGATCTTAATTCATCTGGGTTCATTGGTTGTATTTTAAATAATTTGGTTGTTGCATTATGTCGAGGTGTTGAGTTGAAATTGTTTTGTTGATATATTTGGTTGATATTGGTTTAGTTGTATTGAGTGATTTTGCCTTGCCAATATTTTTATACTTGATGCTTTAAATTTGGAGATATATGTTAATATTTTCTGTTTGAGTCTAAGTTGTTTTGTGATGTTTATTTGATGCAGTGATGTTGATAATTTTGGTTAAATTTTTTTGGTTTATACTGTATCTTAATGTCATAAAATAATCAATTTTGTGTTCGTTATTTTGTGGCGATTTATCTGTCCTGTTTTATTGGCGTCCGCGCCGAAGCGCGACGCCCTATATGGAATAAATCAGATTTTGTGAAAGGGCAATTGCAACTTCTCAGGCCTTTTCGTCGGTCATAATAGCCGATCATTCCGACTGATATGAGGGTGTTTGATTATCAAAATTGAAATGTCGCGATATGTACAGTGAATAGCGAACTGGAGAATTTCGCAATGCAAACATATTCAAATGAAATTATCTTATCCGTCAATTAATCACGCTCTTCGTTTTTTTTATTAATCTGTTAATCATTTTGTAGTAAACACCGGGTAATTATGTTTTGCGGCTTGCTGTACCTATAAATAGAATGATGACCTTAACATTGTGAAAGTCCGAGAATCTATTTATAGAAGTAGTTTTAGTTCAACGAAACGGTCATTGGTGTCGCGCTATTGAAATAAATAACGAACTGGAGAATTTCGCAGGAAATGAAATGCAAACATATTCAAACAGTTAATTGCACTCTTTATAAATCTATAGAAAAAAAATAAGTAAGCCATTTTTACGAATTGTTATATCATGGTATTATTATTTTGAAATTGCTTTTCCGAAGGTTCTTTCCGGCTTTCCTTTGACGGCCCTGATTGCACTTATGACATTTTTACCGTGAATATTTCAATAGACCTAGTTCATAACATTAAATGTCGCTTTTATTTTGACGTTGTGCGACATTTAAAAGGTCTTGCAGTAGTGTGCTATAAAAACCTATTCGCTGTTTAAGTCTCTTTAGCTAAAATCGATCCTGGTTTCCCGGATTTTTTTAAATTTTGTATGAAGGTAATCGATTTTATGGTAGTTTGAGTGGAATGTTATTTTGCCGTATATTGTGACATTTTAACAACAGAAACTTTCGTCTGCAATTTTAACATGAGTTGTTATGGGTTTATTGACGGGAATGTAAACACACCGATGAGTCAGACGAGTTAGTTTAAGTAATTCGTTAAAATAGTAGATCGACCTACCAATAAATCAATTAACAGACTTTTTTCATTTTTGGCTACTATTTTGTATGTTCCAAAGAAAATACCACATGAACTTGAAATTCTATCAAATAACCAATATTAATGATAATATCCATAATATCTAAAAATACCCCCTATATAGTATAAATATACTAATACCATATAGGGGATATATTTTGGATATAATAGACCTGTATATTTTGGATATAATCGTTAATATGGATTAAATTTCAAGTTCTCCTGGAAAAAAACAACATTTAATATTATAATCTCTAGCATGCCTACCAAAGTTCATGATGAACAATTGTCTTTCGTTCGCCCATTCATAAATATTATACAATTCTGGTAAAAACCAATTAACCATTGAAAATATTATAAGAATATTTGGTCATCAGATGTCTACAAGTTCATCCTCACCTGCTGCATTTATTGCTTGGACGCCCTTTGATGCTTTGCATCAATGCTTTTCTTAATTTGTTTAGAGCTTGTGCTTGCTAGATGTATATTATTGTTACATATACGTGACGTATGTAAGGATATTTTTTAATAAATGATCAATGCATGATGTGTTTGTTTTGGGTGTAAATAATGATCAAAGACGTTTGTTGTGTTGACCCTTCCTCATATTATATATATATGGATTTGAGATAACAAAAGATGCTAATACCTAAAAAAAATAGTGTAAACTAAACAATAACTGGCTAGTTTTAAAACTGAGAATAATTCATTTACATTTTGCATAAAACTCAGACTGTGCTGCCCTGCCCTGCCTTGTTTATAATTTATTGACCAAACCCTTCCTCAGATTAAATAACATCAAAACCAGACTTTCACCTGGAAAAGCAACACAAAATTGCAGCAAAATAATTTTAACAGTTATTCTTTATGAAAAAGTCACAAGTACCACTTGGTATATTAATCACATATCTAAGATGTAAACAAAACTTTACACTTGGTCAGCTGGTGATTTAATTGTTTCTCCCATTTATTTTTGCTTAAAGTTATTCTATAATCGTGAAATGTTTAAGTAGTTTATTCTACCTCTATGTCGATATATAACTCCTTTAAAGCAAATTATACCTCAGAAACAAAATTATTTTTATTTCTTTAGAAAGGGCAAACATGAGTAGTAATAAAAGTCTTTTTAGATGCTTATAACCAGTTGAAAGAGAATTGTGAAATTATTTTTCATAACAGTAGCAAATGTCAAGAAAGTAGCAGTTAAACTTCCATACAAAATACTAAACTACTTAAACTATACTTATTACATAAAGGCAACAAATGAAAAGATGGTTCAGATAATTGGCTAATAAAAATTTGCAATATAGTGTAAACATTGTAAAACAGTTACAATAATGTTATAAGATTATTGGTATTGTACAACTGTTAGCAAATAAACAAGAATCCCTTATAGCAGCATAGGCCATTATGTATTAAAAATAATGCGTTCTTCTCATGCGAGATATGTAATTCTGTCTTAGTCAATAAACTTCGAAAAATGTACTTTAGTTATGTACCATGCAATGTGTGAATTTAATTAAAAATCTTTTCTTATAGATTTAACTTATCTTACCTCATTAATATTCTGTTTGTTATTGTGCCTTTTAAACGTTTAATTTCGTACCATTTGTTTCCAAGCATTTACACTTCCATATATTTAAAATAATATGTTTTCTGAATTTAAAGAAAATCAGGATAGTTTATTTAAAACGATCTGATGTGATAATTGTCGTTATTTTCAATCCTCTGTTTTGTAGAAACACGCGATCTTACTAGCGCAAATTTATGTTTATTTTATGCATAATCCAGATATATTATAGACAGGCCGTGAAAAAAAACCAAACGTATCTCATATTATGTCTTCCTTTTTGATGCGCATAATACTCTGACGATAATCACCTTGAACGTTTATTAATGCAGATATACGAAACATCGAGAAAAAATTACATATTGTGTTCGTAATGTAGTAAATGTTTGGTAAATAATAGTTGTTTGTGTGATAAATTTTCCTTGTAATTGTTATAAGAAACCATGATATAGCGAAATAATGTACCGACGGCTTTGTTGTAGCCGAGTTTCGTTGTAAACAAGTAGAAATATAGATGTGTATCATGATTTAAAGAAAAAATAACTATAGCTGCCTTTACAACATCATTTTCGGATATTACCACGGTTTATACATGTTTTTTAAAACTTGCCTGTGACTTTGTTTACAAATTTAGCGCATAAATCTTCAGCATAGAAGAATTATTTCGGTGCATGTACATGTATTTGAAAATTCTGACAGTATTTATTTTGTTCAGAAATATATACGTGAAATTGAGCTAAATTGAAAATTTTTGCATCTTTCGTAAGGCGTTTTGAAAAAAACCTGCAAGGTTCTAAACGTATTAAATTCAAGAAAATAAATGCTTTTAAAACTTGTTCCTGGAAGAAACTAGTACTAAGCAATGAGTGAAAAGTTTTTGCTCACAGAAACAACGCGGGGCGCAAGGCGAAAGCAAGAAAACACGACAAAATGGTTACTTTGTCATAATTTTCGTCAGGTTACCGCGAGGCGAAAATAAGACATGACACAATCAGCCACCTTACATTTCAATTCATTTCGTTATGCGGCGTTTCCCAATGCTGGGATGTAATTTAATCTGTATCATGTCTATGTTCTATTTTTTACTAGTTTCTACTTTCATTGCTGAAAGGGCTAAACAAAATAGGTATATTCACATTGTTTCTAATGACAGTTTCATTTTCAATTTGATTTAAACCAGTTTTCTTTGTTCATACAAGGTCAATTGCTACGTACCAAAACTCAAGACAGGTTTTTAATGGCCAATATAGCCAATAAGCACCACTGAGACCGATATCATTTCTTATACAAGCACGCATACAAACTTAAACAATTACCCGAAATATTATATATAAGACAGCACCTTGCAAATAAAATAAAGTGTATTTATACGTTTAGATCACATATCACGTTCTACAGAATTCATAACTGAATCACTAATTGTCTCATGATAACAAAGTGTTGTTTTTTTTCTATATCATTATCACATCAGCTTTTTTGTGGGGCTGTATAAAGTCGCCACGTACATTCAATTAGAGATGTAATGTTTCGTATCCTTAAATATACAAGAATGATATTATTTTTATGTTCGTGAGATTTTTAATTTCATCCATTTGATCATCTTTTCTTGTTGGGTGGCTCCATTATTTTTTTTAATTTAATTAAGTTTAATGAATCTCATGCTATATTGCTTTTTATTTTAATTAGTATTTATTAAGTCTACAGATTTTTTTGTATACAGTTTCGCCCATTGATTTCTCGTTTATGGCACACATTCATTCTTTTATTTGGGAATCATACGCCGCTTTTCCAGAAAAGGCACGAACGTGTCACATTAAAACAGCGGTTAGTATGAATGTTATATTAAGCTAGTGCTCGGGACGTGGACAGTAGCTTGCATTTACAAACAGGATCAATTACACCGGGTCTGAAATATTTTTAATTTAGCTGTTTTGTGTGTTCTTCAGGGAGTTCGTATATTGTTCTTGTTCTAATATGTTTTGCCCTAAAATGCCTTTTTTCCAATATTTATATTAATTACTAAAATACTAAAAATAACCGTGGCCGAGTGGTTAAGGTCGTTGACTTCAAATCACTTGCCCTTCACCGCTTTGGGTTCGAATCCCGACAGGAACCTTGGATTCTTTCATGTGAGGAAGCTATCCAGCTAGCTTACTGAACGTCGGTGGTTCTACTCAGGTGCCCGTTCGTACCTGAAATAATGCACGGAAAGGCACCTGAGGTCTTCCTCCACTAGTAAAGCTGGAACGTCTTGATATGACCTTTACTGTGTCGATGTGACGTAAAACCCAAAACAAAAACAAAAAAATAACGTTTGAGTGTTATCAACAATTATAAATATAGCAAAACCTATTTCTATTAATAGTTATCCGTGTTATAGTTCGTGTAAGGCACAAGTACAAAATTTGAATTATAGCGACACGAATATCGACGCTTTATTGAAAATATTGAAATATGAACAACCTGTTTAGATTTATTGATTTGCTAATATAAAACATACAATTTGGCGAGAAATTAAAAACATGAATGCTGCCATGTCTTTTGATAAAAAAACAAAAGTAAAGTACCGACATTTTAAATGTGTTTATAAAAAACTTTTTATACAAAACAAATGATAAAAAAACATAAGGAAAAAATCCTATGCTTATATTATCAATATTCGTGCATATACATGTATGTTGTTTTTCCACTTAAGATGCCTAAGAGACCAGTGACCAAGTTAGTCCTTAAAACCTGATATGAGCCGCGTCACGACAAAACCAAAATAATGGGTTTGCGACCAGCATGGATCCAGACCAGCCTTCGCATCCGCGCAGTCTAATCAGGATCCATACTGTTCGCTATCAGTTTCTCTACTTGTTACAGGGTTTGTAAGCGAACAGCATGGATCCTGATCAGACTGCGTGGATCCATGCTGGTCGGTCGCAAACCCATTATGTTGGTTTTGTCGTGACGCGGCTCATATCGTCCAAATGTATTAAAACGTTAAGTGGTAAGAAATTTGTTGTATAAAGATGAAATGTTATAGTGTATATTAAATACTGTTATATCAAATCGATAATTCTGTAACTGTTTATTCAATGGTTTTTAAATCTGAATTTTAACTGTAATTTGCCTTAAAAAAATTTATTCCGTGCAATATTGATTCAGCATGCATCAGTACTTTGAATAGTTTTGTATGGTAATTAATCACATAGAATCTTAGGTAAATTATCATAGAATAACCTGGTCAGAGATGAAACTCAAAATGCAAATTCCAAAAAAAAAGCTAATTAAAATATTAAGAACTATTTAATTGAAGAGTTTGTTGAGATTTATCTTAGAAATTTTAACTCGAAGGCACAAAAACAAAAAGACTAAGAAAGAATTCACCTCATTCACCAGAGTCGAGAAAAATGTCAGATCTGAACTGAAAGAAAACTACGCCTACTTATTTCCGAGATCTCCGCTGTCCGTCGTACTAGAATTTCTCATCTTTGTTGCAATACATTCTTCAACTGTCTAGCTTAAACATATAAATATCTAAGAAGTTTCATCATGCATAAGCAAAGTTTTTATCTTAAAGCATCATATTTATCAAAGTCCTTTTCCCTTTAATCATAAAAATGTTTTATATAAAGTATGCATTTATCGTACCACTTTTAATAGTACTAAACTAATTGATTGTCATTTTTAATGATCGAAATTCAGTAATTATTTATAATGTCTTTACGTTTTCTTTGTTTTTATCGTGATCATGGCTGAATGTGACCCCCCCCCCCCCCCCCCGCCCCCCCCCCCATCTTTCAAGAGGATGGATTTGCTAATACTTAAAAAGGGTCATATTAATTTTGCAATGCAAACTTTTTATCATCATTTTCTTTTTTCTCATCAGAATATTTAAAAAGCGCTGTCTGTGCACGTGGCTGCCATTGTTTTAAGCAATTGAAACATTCCTTAACTTCGGGTTCTAAATTAATGTTCAAATTGTATCTTTACTGTAATCTGATGAATATAAAATGCCTAATGTATTTGGCTGAATCAGATGTCCACTTGATTTCTCTATTTTACAATAAACTTTAGTATTCTTAAAAGACCTAACTCGTAATACTGAAGATGTTTTAAAATTAAGATTTAAACCGGAAGTTTTACCTAATTCTGTAATAACATATTAAGCATGTTTTTCGGAATACTTTACTGAATCATCACTTAGAAAAATTTCATTATGTGCAATAAAGGTTTTTTTCTTTCTTAATGTGTGATTTCAATTTCTTTTGTTTTTTACATATTTTTTATGTTATTGGATAAAATTTCTACACATACGATACATATTGATGATGATAAAAGACATCTATATCGAACACACCTTTCTATGGTAAAAAGGTCTGAGAAATGACCGTTATTTGCAATAAAACTTGAAATATCAGTGAAAAGATGTTTCACCCATTGTATAAAATGTTAATAATAGTTGTATTAAAGAAGTTTATATTCAAATAATGTGGGTGTCTGCATTTGTAAAAGTTTTTAAAAATGATATTCTTCTTTCTATATTTATTTTGCTTCTGTAATATATTTTTTACTTTTGACTTGTGTACAACCTTTTCTTACACCATGCTTTTGGGAAAAAATATAGAAAAGTATTTACTTTTTTATATTGTTCCATGTGATAGCACGTGCTCTCAAAATCGAAACATTTACACGATCTTAATAAATATGTTTAAGTTCTAGAATTTTTAACATCATGACTTTATGCAATTTATATTCATTGTTTTGTTCGTTGTTTTAAGTTGTCAGTATTTTTTATCCTTATTGTTTCTTTTCTTTGTCTATGGCACTTTTCTTCTATCAATAAAGAATTGATCAATTTAAAAATAGTCAGACAGGACCTTTTTTCACTGCATTATCATTTATCGTTATAGTTACTAAAAATGATCTGTTTTATATCCATTTGAAATATTACTTTTTGAAATGATGTAACAGAGCACGTCAGTGAGGAAGGTATCCAGCTAGCTTACTGAAGGAACTTCGGTTGTTCCACTAATGTTCCCGTTCGTGACAGACATGCACCTGAGATCTTCATCCATCAATAAAGCTGGAAACCTAAAATATGTTTATACGTTGCATTAAAATCGCCACCAAATATAAAATGCGATGCATTAAAATCGCAACCTAGTATAAAAAAGGGGATGTTTTTAAAAATTTGCCAAACCCAAATTTTTAAAAAGCGATGGGCCTTAAAAAACGCCCCCAAAATATAAAATGTGATGTTTTTAAAATCTTACCAAGTTAAAATTCTTGTCATGTTTTGAAAAATAAATCCCCCAAGGAAAAAAAATAACCATGTTTTGCCAAATTTGGCCAAATTCCCCATTGGGTTAAAACTTTTGTTTTAAAATTTTTAATAGTAAAAATTATCAACATTTTTAAACGTTTTTTGAAATTTTTGATATAACAAATTGTCTTTAATGGTTTGTTTTATTTTTGAATTTAAAGTTAAAAATTCCCCGTCGTAAAAGTGGGGCAGAAACCCAAAAGTTATTTTAAAAATTTTTAGAAAATTTTTTGGGGGACGTGGTTTTAAAAAATTGAAGCAACTGCTTTCAAAACTTGTATTTCAAACTCATCTCTGGTTCTTTTATACTATTGTTATTAAACAAAACATTAAGGCATTGAATCAAATCTTTTGTTGTTTTAACAGCCGATTTTGCTTTTGAAATGTTGCAATATGTTACAAGACAAACAATATAAATTCAGCATCGAATATGCAACAGAAAACAGGCAAATACAACTAAGAAGTCCAGTCAGTGATCCACGTGAGTACAGAATATCATTAGCTAATTTTCACATTTATTCTGCAACATTATATAATTATATATAAATATATATATTATAATATGCATAAGTTGTATGAGTTTATATGTTATATTGATTAACACCAGCAGACGACAACAATTATTTATTACATCATTAGTCTGTGGTTCAATAATACAGGATTATGTTATATTTCATTAAAGTGTCATTATGCTTATAACTGCACCATTTATTTGACAATTATTTAATTTGTACGTTATAAAAACTAGAAATGTTTTTGTTTTGAAACAATATAATGTTATGTAGACCTAGTTGATGAAGTTATGTAAGTAGGACTAGTTGAAATGTTTAAATTTGTTTGTGATATTTGCTTTTTAAATAAACCATAAATCGTTTTCGAGTAACGATTGGCATATTTTTGAACAGATAAGGTTTTTAATTGTGCTGGTATGCCTTTGTTGAAAAGGACTGTCACTTTATATGACTTCATCTTAAATTTCAGCAGTTTATGTTAAAGATATCATTATTATGCTCAAACTTGATATTTGAAAATCAAAGTCCTAAAGGCAATTACAGCTTACGGGTTTAATATGACTATAAAATGGAAAGAAAAGCATCGTGTTCATGATGTCTCGATCGAAGTTAAGGAAATAAATTAAGGCATCGCTTTCAGTGTCATGGAATTCTTCAAAACAACCTTTAGTAGCTATCTGTGATACATTTTAAAACAAAGTTACGTTTTTCACTTAGTTAATCTTATTTATTTCTTTAATCGTGATTGTTTTCATAAAAACATACGTTGTGCCTGTTTTGGTAAACAAAAATATGTCCTTTAGTCATAGCAACGTTGGAGTTCCTGACTTGAGTTGAATGCGATTTTGAAATGATTCCTAGAAGCTTTTCTGAAGCAATTTCGATTAAACAATTCTGTCTGATTTTTTTTCTCATATAATCAATTCTTCGGCGAAGTGGAATGACAGAGTTAGAAGAGGAGTCACGTGATACAAAGATGTCGACTTTCGTTGTAGGTTTTAGTAATAAATTTTTTAACGTACATTGTTGAAATCGCCAATGCAGGGATTTCTATTTCGTTATTAAATGCTACATGATTTATCAATCCATCATCTTCATTCAGCATTATTAAAAGTGAAGAAACTTTGTTTTATACCATAGCTACCGTCGCCATTAAGTATTTCTCCTTAAAGAAGAAATTTATTAGTTTTTGCTTGATTCTGAAACGGAGTCGTCAGATTAAGTATTACTTCGAACACGTGGCTTTCTTATTCTAGAATCAACAAATCACACCGTCTTTAAACATCGAGTTTATGCAATTGTAGTGAAATAAACTTAATTGGTTACAGTAATGAAAATGACAATGTGCAAAAAAATCTTACTTATAGATATTTATTTCAAATCAGAAACAGTTAACTTTGTTACATTTGAAGAGAACTATTTGGTGTCGCTTATGTTAAAAAAGTGAACTATTTGCCGTAGAGATTATCCGGTAACTAGATGACTGTAAGCCATAGAAAATAAACATTACTACACAAAATCTTTTGAAATGTATTATAAATGTTTGAATACACCCAGAGAAAATATGTTATGTTTAATCTCTACACGTTACAGGTTATCACAATATTATAACATAGTGTCGCTAAAAACGGACAGTTTTTGTTAGAATAAACCAAATCGATTTGACAAAAAAATAGGAACGGCAACTTCAGTTTCAAAAAATTTCTGCAGTTAAAGTATTTCACGCAAAGATGGATATAGTATGTTTTTAAATGTTGAATCCTGCTAAAGCGGATGTAAGGTGGCTGGGACGGCGGCTTGCGATAAGCACTACCGTCCATGAACAGGCTAAACCAAACTGGGCGTGCAACAATGTCAGTTTTGTCGTATTGGGCTTTCTGTAGGGGTTTTGTTTTCTCTACTTTGTTCATCTGATGCAATGTAAAGACTTAAACACTCGAATACGATGACAAATACGTACAACTCGACATTATATTAGTTATCGTAAAATACCTCGCTTTTAAGAAAATCCCTTTTAGCATAATGAAATTACATTTTTTTCACAAGTACAATGCGCAAAGAGAAAATAACAATTGCATAAAAAGTTATACTATATTAATCACAATAATTTATACATGTATTATAAAGATATTGTTTTAATTTATGATATTTCTATTTAATACGTGTATGCTCAATAGAAATTCCCAGCTCATAAGTATTCAAAAAAAGAAGCAGTAATGTACAGCGCTTGCGCACATGAAGTTATAACTTTAGGTATGCATTCCCAGCAAACAAAAGACGTTGTACCAACGTTGTACTGACGTTAGACCCTGACGTTGGGAAAACGTTGGCAGAAGGTTGGATTTGAAAGTTTTTTAGACGTCAGAAACCGACGTCTATACAACGTCATAAAATGACCTTTATCCAACCTTTTCTGACCATAATCCAACCTTGTCTGACTATTATCTGACCATAATCCAACCTTTTCTGACCATTATTTGGACATAATCCAACCTTTTTCTGACCATAATCCAACCTTTTCTGACCATTATCTGACCATATACCAACCTTATCTGACCAAATTTTCTGACAATAATTTAACCTCATTCAAAACTTTTGGAATATGATTTTTTTTTTCATTTTGAAGCTCTTTAATAGGGTTAATAAATAAGCATTCTTATGATTTTAGCAATTTATTTTATATTCGGAATCACAAGTACAAAAACAAGAAATGTGGTACTATAACAAATGCAAGATTTACATAATATTTTTTGAAACTATTAAACTTGACGGTATGTACTTTAATAACGCTATATGTATTAATTAAGCATGTTTTAGAAATAAGATAAACAAAATCTTTCTTGAATATTAACACTGACATTTTATATAGCAAACATCCATGCATGTGTTTTTTCTTATATCACCACTGAACTGATCACTCTGAGTTTGGGATTTTTCAATCATCTATCCAACTCACTAGTTGTATATTTGTCTTTGTATTTTATAACTGAATCTAGATCTGAATGTTAAATGGAACAATATTCTGAATATTTTGTTATAACTATAAATAGCAATGTTCATGTATCTTCATTAGTATTCTAGCTTCTTTCGTCCTCCTACACTATATGTCGATCTGCATGGGGCATACTATAAGTGTATCATTACCGTCTCCAACCTAAGATCTCATCACACTTTCTGAAATTAAAAAAATTTAAAATAATCAGTTACAAGTGCAAGAAATAAATCACTTATACATATTATAATTAAACGAAATTCTAACAAAACACTCCAACTACTTAAAAAGATACTTATTATTTTTAATTTAGTTTAAACCATGTAGTTTCGTGTACCTACTGTATATATCTATTAATTTTGATAAAAACGGCTTCGTGAATTTCATTATAAAATCAAGGGTAATAAGATCACTGTATTTTCTATAATATTTTGAAATATACCTGTCACAAAATCTTGGTAGGTTTCATTTTTCTTTTCCTCTAAATATTTTCATCTTCCTCCTGAACTTTTGACACATGATGAATTAACATAATTTTCACAATCTGAAAGACGAAATATTATCGTTTTAGAATTTAACCATATGGTGGAAGGATGTTCGCCTAATACAATAGGCAAAATCCAATTACTATTAATCTTAGTTAACTCATAAGCGCATGAAAAACTGAAATAACAAATACCAAAATGAAATTAATTCTACTCCCGCAAAAATTGATATTGTTATTTTTTATATTCAATGTACTTTGTACAAATGCTCATACAACATCAAAGAAATTCACACGTTACTGTCATTTTTATAGATATCATCTCTGCCCAGCATGATCTGGTCTGCTAAGTGTATATAGGACAGACTGGCTTAGTGTAAAAACGTTTTATGATACGAGCATACAACTTGTTGATAAACAGGCTAATTAACAAACTATTACTTTTATTGATTTATAACTATGATAATGTGTTTTCTGATTGATAATATGTTGTTTGATTACATTAATAAGAAGATAACTTGTCAAATACAATGTGCTTTCAGATATATCTTACCAAAGTGGTATCATTTACATGTATCAAATGCCATGAATCATTATTATAATATAAGAAACACATGGTATGCTAACAGTATGGGTAAAGTACTTCAATTAATAACGAGTAGTTTAACAACTACACAGATATCAAAATCAAACTGCATCTGATACATGTGTAAATGACTGGCCCCTCATATAAGGGAAACTCATGCTGATAAGAAATAAGAGGAAATTTTATTTACCAGCATTTGAATAATAAGAGTCTTACGTACTGCATTTAACTTTTTATTGATTTCCTACCATTGATTGTGCATTTATTTGGCATGGCGATATAGTGTGGGAAAAATGATCCGATTATACAAACTGTTCTATAGCAAATGATAAAGTGTTCTTACGTGGAAACAAAAATATTTATCTCGCGAAATCACGTTACATTACGTTTTACCAGTCAAACATCTCAATGATCAAATAACCATCGAATCCATGCAAACATGCAGTAAATTAGCATTGAAAAACAATATATAATGTTTTCCTACCTTTTTCTTTTGTTTGGAATATACAACTTTGTCTTTCAACCCGTCGTTTTTTTTGTCCGCCAATACAATTGAATTTCAAATCCGATAAGATGCAAATTCGAATTTACTAAATTATTTATCACTATAAAATGAAGCCCTCAAAAATGATAACAGCTTCATTGTAAATTATATAAACACTTCTTAGACTAATTCGAGGAGATAAGATATTATTTAAACGAAAATAGAGCAAATATATTTCATACGGATCTGCGACTATCCGTTTACAGAGCGCCACCTTTCGAATATCGTACGTTAGCCACCCATGTGATACTGTTGTTTTGATGGAGAAAATAAATATATAATGTTCCCTTTCTAAACTTAAACTTAAAATTCTCGCTGTTTATGCTTTCATTTATATATATATTGGTTTCAAAATTAAATTTACCTATTATCAGATTACCGACCAAAACCCGACATCGAGTCGACGTCAAAATGAAACGTCTGTTAGATGTCGGGGATTCAACGTCGATTTGACGTTGTATGAAGGTCACCGACGTCGCGACCAAAATTCAACGTTGATCCAACGTTGGGTCAACGTCGGGTGTTTGCTGGGATTGATGGTGATATTCACAAAGTAACTTACCAAGTACATGTAAACTAAATAGATGAATTTACAAATTATGTTGACAATATCAAGAAAGAAATAAGAAGCACCAGATATGAATTTGCAACAAAACAACATTTTACCATTTGTTGTTGCCGTTAAGTAATGCTATTTTTTTGCACTTTCAGAAGAAAAATACTCTTTAATTTCAGTCTTGCTTTGGGAAATTGCCAATCAGTAAAGCATGAGGAAATTAATACTTCCTACTTTGGTATGTCGACTTCTTTCCAGTGTAATACTTAATGCAAATACTCAGTCAAAACATATTGAGCGTTGAGTTCTTAGTATCACTAGAGCTATTGTGCTAGTAACAAGTAAAATATCTATAAAACAACCATAACAAAGTTGTTAAATGTTCATTGTTTTATAACTTTACTCTATAAGTGAAATTTCAGATATGTATGTTGCTGTCGGTTAGTCTGGAAACAGCAGAATCACTGGGATGTGGTAAACTTCAGCTTTATATTTTACACTAAATATCTGGCTAACTTATCTGAGTTTTACAATGTTATTTCACATTATTTAAAAACTTGTCGGGTCGCAAAATAAAGATGCTATTAATACAGTTTGATAACAGTAAGAGATATTTCCTCACAATAAATGTAAAAAGTGATTTCTAAAATTATATTTTTGCTACAAAGATTTTGACATAAACATTATTTGATTATAATTATTTTATAAAATCATGTTACGCTATTTCTTGTATTATTTTCATAATAAACAGACTTGACTAATTTTAAAATTTCTATGATTTTGTCTCAGTTTCGAAAGTAGTGTTTAACGCATATAACAGTACAAGGGTAAGTTACAGCCACGACCAAACTATCGTATTTCCTGTCGTATTACTTAATGAAGGTGGCGGTTATGATGATTGCACTGGAATCTTCACAGCCCCTGTGTCTGGTATGTACCAATTCAGCGTCAACGTTTGTACTGCCCTAACAAAACATATGACCGCAGCTATTGTACATGAATATACTACACTAGCAATTACAACAGTGGCAGGATGGAACACAACAAGTAGTTGCACTTCGGCAATGGTTCCGGTACAACTTAAGACGGGTTAACGAGTGTATGTTAAGAGTACAAACGGATCAAACGAAATGTTTGCAAATAAGAACAGATGGCCATCCTTCACCGGTGTTCTTTTACGAAAATAATGTTACGTAAATGTTTATTATTAATTACATAAGGAATAAAACGATTCAATAATTGTCCATATTCTTTACTTCTATTTGTGCATGCAAGTTGTTAAGATGTTATTATTTTTACAGAATTGAACGACTTACACTTCCGATCACCTCCCATGAACAGGTTCAAACATACCGAGCCTGCAATATTTAGAATTTTGTTGTTTAGGGCTATCTTTGGAAATAGAGATACAGAAAATCAGAGGTTATGAAACCTGCATATCATAGATAAAATGTAAACTATAAATTTAAAAAGCAGGCATCATATCCTAAGTGTTTTCGTATGGTTTTCAAGAATGCTTGCTGAACCCACCCAAGTTGTTAACGTTAATAAATGCCAAATAGAAGAAACTTGAAATACCACATAACATTTATACACAGCGCAATCGTTACTTTTTCATAACTATTTTAATTAGTATTTTTTTCGGATGTAAAGTCTTTTACGACTTGAATACAAAGCAGAAATAGCTGCCGACCGACACAATGTGTTTTGTGTGTCCTCAATAAAAATATAAACATAAAATCATTAACACTATAATGTTATGCGTTTACCAAATAAAACTCCGGTCGAGTAAGTCGTTTATTGGTGAAAATTAACGGAGGACCTGCTCAGCTGGTCTAAATAGGTGCAACGTCATTAATATGGTTGAATATTTCAGTTATTTAACCTTTAACTTCTATATCTTACCAGATTTATAATATGAAGCAGTTTAATTACTATTAATATTTATGTAAATGGAACATTTGATGGCATTTTGATTTGGTAACATCGTGAGAAGTTTACACGGGAGTGATCACAGTCCTACCATTTTGTGAAGCAGTGAAGCAATCATAAAAAAAAGTTCAACATATTATGTTTTTGTATAATACATAAGTGTTTAAATATTTGATAACATCTTGAACTGTGTAGCATCAGCAGATATGAACTTGGCTGAGATCATCACCCAAACATGTTTTAATTATATTCTGCATATTTGTGAAAGAATTTGTTATTGTTTCCTGATTGGAATATATCATGACCCCACACTCTGCAATCCATCAAACTAGCTAACGACAGACCAGCTGTAACTTGCGAAGCAAGAAGGGCGCGAAAGAATCAATGTAACCTTATATTTAATGTGTACCAAATATATATTTCTGACATCCGTTTAAATAATTAACTGATGAGTTTCTCGTTCAGTCAAACAACTAATCGGATAACACAAAAGTGCATTGAATTTGTTGTCCTACTTTGTCAAAAGGAGCAAATGTTCATGAGACCCTGTCATAAATTTTGTACTTCATGTGCACTTCATAATTATTGTAGTTTTGTTTTTGTTCGTATATACGACAAATGTATATCCCATTTTGTTTATTTAAGGTAGTCTTACTCTAATGCTTTCCCGCTTAAAAATGTGTACCATCGGTCAATATCGTAATTAATCAGTTATTTCCAGAATGTTATTTTTCACGATATTCGGTTTTCAATAATATTTAACCGTATATAACCGGAATTTAGTACACAAAGCGGTAAATGATGAGTAAATGTAAATAATATAAAATCCAAGATTTTGAAAAATTTCTCCCGGCAATAACCGATTTGCTATGATATTGACCGATATTAGAATTGTTTGCGGGAAAGCAGTACATTTTTTAAATTGTAATGTCTGGATGGCTCGGCGTATCCAAATTAAGAGTTTCCTTCGTTACTACTTACAGAAAGTGACTGAAATACTGGACATGGTAACTGTACTATGTACAAGTTAACATGTCGTTTGCTCAAGTCATCAAGATACTTTGACGAGTTAACATGTTCTTTGCACATGTTTACATGCTTAAATGACAAAATAGTATCATCATTTCACAAGATAGCAAAAACATTGATCACATAAGACAGTCACGGCATTCCATACATTCTTGTATAAAAGTATACAACTGATTTGGTGATTCTACGATATGTTGTTTTCAGCAAAAAGAAACCGGTTCGGTATTGAATTTAACTCGATTGTGTGTTATGTTTGATGATAAGGTAACTGGGGGCCGTTACTGCAATCAGCGCTTGTGCATGGTGTCAGAATCATGTACATTAACAAGAGCTATCTGTAGGACATCGTAAAGTGCGCAAGTGCTTGAAAATTAAACAAGAACCTAGATAATGAAGAATTCGCTATATTTAGAATGGCCATAATTCTGTCAAAATCCATGACAGAGTTATTAACCTTTTCCATAATGTATTTCTTTTAAAAGAAAAAACTTGCATGCAAAACCTCAGCCAAACTGTAAAGCCGACGCCTTTTGTGTATAATATCGCTTCAGATTCTTCGAAATATCGAGCTCGCATGGTTTGATCCGTAAATAAGTTTTCTTTTCTATGTGAATGTACACTTGTGTGCAGTTTTTATGCAGGGATACCACTTTAATTATTAGTGTGCTATATGTATGAAGAGTATTGGTCATATGAATTTTCTTTCTCATGAAAATTTGTCCAAAAACCAAATCTTTTAATGGTGGCCAACTTGTCCAAAAACCAAATCATTTAATGGTGGCCAACTTGGATTTTGAAGCCATATTGAATTTGTTACTAAAGCAATTGTCCAAAAAATTACTATTTTTGACCTACAATGTCAATTTAAATAATTTTCATGGCATAAATAACTCTATTTTGTCATGTCTCAAGTAAATTGTACATTTTGGTGGCCATCTTGGATTTTGGCGGCCATCTTGGATTTTTAAAAAGTGGATCCCAGGCTTAAATAATTTTAAATATTATTTCCTGCCACCATGCTAAGTTTCATGCTTGCACAATTTTTTCACTGATTTCTTGTACTATAATAGGATCAAATTCGTCCTTTAGCTGAATTGATAAAAAAGTAAATCAACATTTAAAACCTTTCGCACGGCGTTAATAAAATTATCCCAAAAAATATTCACACTCAAATATATGGTGCTGATCAAAAGTTAAGTAGTATAATTATAACAATAATCATTGCTCAATCGTGTCAGCGAAGAGGTAAACGGAAAAGGGAGATCCAGTGAGAGTATATTTTGCATATTTCGCCCCGCCTATAAATCAAGCACGAATTTCTGATAAAGCGTTATCATCCTTATTAAAAAGAGACTATACATCTGTGGAAAAAACAGTGTCACTGTGAAATAGTGCATATGCTTAATCCTTCTAATAAATACATACGTATGTCTAAAAATAGAAATAGGCTTTAAAATCTTCAGGACATACAATCGTACAATAATGTTTTCTCATTCATATGCCTAATAATTGAATTAGCATATGAACATATGTGAGGATATCACGTAAGATGACTAATGGATCACCTTAATGTACATACAATGTAGACATCTAGATGTTATTATGAAAGATAAATGAGGGATCACATTATAAGAGGACAAAGAGATCATGTACATGAACATATACTCTAGTTTTGATAGAAGATGTCGTATGTGAGGATAATGTAAGATGAACAGGGAATCATCTAGATGTACATATACAGTTGTAAGTTGTATATTAATTGTAATAGAACATATATCAAGGATCACCTGATCTTTTAGATGCATAAACACTGAACTCTTAAAGCAATTTTATTAGGGGATTAGGTAAATGACCAGGGGATCTTTTAGATGTACATATACTGTAGTTTCCATTGAACAGGTACGATATAAGGTGAGTCAAGTAAGATGGCCAGAGGATCATCTAGATGTACATAGACTTTTTTATTTCGGAACAGATATAAGGGGATCACGTGAGATGACCAAGATATCA